ATGAAAAACAGCAAACTATCAGATTTCATGTTGACGATCTTATGTCAAGTCACATGGATCCAAAAGTAAATGACGAATTTGCTGAGTGGTTGAACATGAGATATGGTTCGATCCAGGCATGTAAAGTTGTCAGGCCTCTCACAACAGCTGATCTCGATCGGCTTCTATATGTGGGAGCAACGGAACTCCGTTCAACATTCGGATGATAACGTTCAACTACGTGAACGTCACAGCACTGTCAATGAGGGGATTCACTCACAGTTTGATATGGGTCCTGATGACTTGCCTAAGGAAATTCAACCGATGTTAACAAGCCATGGACGAGTCCTCTGCAAGTCATTGGTGGACAAGGAAGAGTGGCTTAAGTTGCTTCGTCAGGAGCGCAGAGACTTCCATCGCTCCATGAAAGCACAACGCCGCAGTCTGCGGACTATTTTCTCCCCTGGACCCTGATCAACTTTTCGCGGGACCTTACATGCCCCGAATTCACCCCGCCACGTCGCGGGAGAAGTCTTTACCCCTTTGGGAGACTTGAGCAACTTCTGTATATACAGATGCCTCACATGGTTCAAACTTGTTGTTGACTCACCGCTTTGCAGTACTTGACCTTTACAGCCACATATTTCACCGGCAATCGAATGCCCACAGAGTAGCATATTAACAATTAATGTCTCAGTTATTATTATTATTATTATTAATACAGCGCTGGAGTCCGGCGGGTAGTGACCGCATAGCGCGACCCAGTGTCTCCCAAGCAATGAGGTTTTCGGCCTCCTCAGAGATCACATTATGATTCCTTCGTTGTTGCCGCAGGCGGGGAAGTGTCATGCATTCCTGAATGAATTGGTCACTCAGCCGGGACTGCTTTGTGTCAGCCACAAAAAGAGCTGCCAGTTCCGTGAAGAACCGAGGATTGGAGGGGATAAGTTGGTGGGCAGCCTCAAGTTCCTTGCGGAAATCCACTGCCATGCCGTCTACCTCCAGGTTTTTCTTTTCCCACCAAGTGAGTTCATCAAATAAGTTGGACTTGTCCAAATGGCCATAGACATGCCGCGGAGACCAAGACACTGAAGACCGAGAGATGGCTTCCCGGATGGAAGAGACCAGGTCAAATTGGCATCAGTGGGTGAAAGTGTTTGATCTTTGAAGGCCACTTCAATGGCCGAAAGACCATCGCAGGCAATCTTGACACAAGGCCGCTGGGTAAGGGCTGGGAACCATTGTTGGAGGAGCGAATCGACCGCCATAATCCCAGCCAGAAGGCCAATCAACTCGCTACGATAGGCACTCTGATCCTGAGGTAAACCTGGAGTCTAACAACGGATGACAATGCGAGCAGTTCCCCCTTTGGGAAGGAGCTGAACAGCAGCGGTTCCGAGGTCATTTTTGTATGACCCATCACTGATGATTCTGAGGCGACCCTGGATCAGGGCATCGTCCAAGGTAGCCTCATCCCCATGTACCTCAATCTCATCAGGGACCCACCCAGAGTAGTCTGTGCAGAGGTCGGCAAAGGTTTGCCAGGCTTTGAGGATGGAGGGGGCCGGGTCGGAGGAAGGTAAGGTTGGGAGACCTGTACCAGTGAGGAGCACGAGTCGGAACCGGAGAGGGGCCTCACTGTGGCCCGCAGGGTGTCAGTAGGCAAAGGGCAAGTCCACCAAGAACTTGGTCGTTGTAGGCTGTCCGTCCCACTGTGATTGCCAGATGGAGCATAGCGCCGAGAAGTTTTAGAGGAACCTACGATGGCGAGATGGGTCCATGCAGCCCCAACCCGATGGAACAAGCCAACAGTCGGCGACCAGAGCCAGTTCCAAGACTCGAAGTGGTCGTGCCAATGTCCCAGGGGTTGGAGCAGAGGATGGTGCTGACCGTGTGAAGGCAAGAGCACGCGGGACAGTGTTCTTTGCCAGAGTTCCCAATGCGTACGCCCGGGTTGTACCGTTCAAGGCCAGTTATATGGGGTCCAATAAGTGTCGTCACGGACACCGTTCCAGATGCAATGCCGGATATAGCGGCCATCGGCCGTAGTGATATCTGACACGGTAGTTACTTGCAGGAATATCCGGCACCAGTTAAGCCAGAGAAGGTCGTCCTGATCAACCTCAAGATCCATGAACAAGTCAATCAGGAGGGCGTCATGATGACTCCTTAAAGACAAGGCCGGAGAGTCAAAGGCCACATACATATCCAGTGACTCAAGTTCCTTCCATACCCGTTTAAGCCAGGTATCAGACGCAAGAATGGATGTGTTCTGGTAATCTTGCTGTAGAAGACCAAAGGAAGTACCAGTCTCCAGTTGGTGGGCCTGGAGATTGGCGTCCATGTAGGCTCCAGTCTTTGTACCCCCTGACATATGGCGCAGAATCATCTCCAAATGTTTGTACACTTGCTTGCCAAAGGGGTGAGGAACTCCAAGGCCTTGATAATTCACCGGGGCAAAGACCACCAAACGGGGAAAGTTGCGGCAAACACCTGACTTAGGTAAGCACACCTGGAGAACCGGTGACATAATGTCCTGCCATTGTTGAGCGTTGAGGGTAGTGAGTGCCATAGGATACTCAAGCTTCTTCGTGATCGTGGTCCGGATCAATGGTAACACGTCGTACTTGTGTAGCAGGTGAGGCCAAAGCTGTTCGGCCCACTCTTTAGCTTTAGAGACCAACTGTGCCTCCTGTGCTTTGTGATTTTCCAATGGCGACAACATCACCCCTAGAGTACGTTCGGAATCATCTGGTTCTAGGCGACAAAGGGATTCAATGTCCCCGGATAACCCCGGTATCTGAAGATCGAATTCCGGTGCCGCGGAGCGTTTCCTACGGAATCTCCACTGCCCAGTGCGAGCATCCCATTCAAAGTCAATAAGCCACCAGAAGGACTTCTCCGGATTGATTGCCCCACCTGTTGCCCGAATTCCCCCCGACCATAAGGTGGCGGCAGCCTGAACTGAGGCGCAAATATCTCCCCCCGAGTGATGAACTGTGCCACCTGCTTCAATCACGTCCGTATCGTCAACAACAAAACAGAAACATTGGGCTGTCACTTGTTGTGACTCTAACACCGAAAGACATTCAAATCCATAGCCCATAGCTTCCATCATTGTGATTAACACCGAGCTCACTGAGATCCAAATAGGAGGTCCGGCACCATTGCCTTGCCCGCAATCTTGAAATGGCACAACTGACGGAGGGCGGAAGCTTCTCTTGGAGTCACCAAAACCTGTGCGAACACGGTGCGTAGCGGAGGAGAGCATGTTGAACATAGATGATAGGACACGCCATGTCAAGCCAAACCGCAACATTGTGATGATGGCCACCCAGTGAACAACACGGTCAAAGCAGGACTTCGCGTCGTTCGAGATCCACCCGGCTGCACGGCGTTGAAGGATAAGTAGATCCCACACTAATCGTTTAGACAAGGCCAGGTCAATTGCTTGATGACGTTTGCGGGAGCCACATTGCCCGTCGGGCATCAAGGAGTGCGTTTCGGCAAAGTTCATGGCTACACGACCTGCCTTCTTATTGTTTGCCTGGGCCTCGGAGTTCATCAGCTGGATGGTGCGCATTTTAGATAGGCAGAAGTCTCCGGGCTTCTTTTCAATGGCAAAGTTCATCAGGTTTTGCCAGTGGAGAGGAACAAAGCCCGTGATGAGAGGAATGTTCCTGAAGAGGGCATCACAGTACGCTATGGATGAGGTTCGGATCCTTTATTCTCAGGGTTCCGCGACCAAAAGTAAACATGATCATCCTTGGAGACGTGCAAGTGCACTGGGGTGTGTCCTTTGTGGAACCGGCAGTGAGATAAGAAGGAAGCCGTAGCTGGATCCAACAGATCAGGTCACGTGTAACGGCCTTCTAACAATGCCAGAGAATTGGATTCAGCGCTGTCACCGGTAAATTCGCTATATAACGGTTTGGCCATAGGTGGGGTGGTGTACAAAGCTCGTGTTTGATCATAGTGTGCCGTGTTTTCTTGCATGCACCCATCTTTGACTAGGCGGCGGTCAGTGATGGTCCAAAGACTTGTAGTACCGTCTGGTAAGTGTTCTTCAATTTGAATAGCCTGAAGGCCCCCTGTAGATCCTTTGCTCTGGGCGCGACGACGGCGTCTTGCCTCCTCTCTTTGCTTCATTTGTCGTAACCGAAAGAATCTATCGCGGGCCTTCCGAGACTTCCACTGATGCTTCTTTGCGTCCTTGGTTTGAACTGTCAAGAAGTTTTTCCTCCATTGAGCTGCGTAGGTGCGTTTGGCCTGCTTGTACATGGAGCGCTCTTGCTTCAGGCAGTCGTCCAGGTCGACCTCTGACTTCCTCCAAGCTTGTGGCAGCTCTGTCTTCTTCATCAACCGGCGAACTTTGCGCAAACTCACGCGGCAACCCTTCTTGCCTTTCAACAGAAGCTTCCACAGGCTCATCCGATCCCAGAATCCCTGCATTTTAGGTGACCATGGGACTTTACCCGGAGCCAAGTCCCGGCACTTCTCTTCCGCCTGGCGCATCACGGTATACATTTGTCTATGTAAACAGTTGTATTTGCGCACCAAGGAAGGAGTCATCTGGTGTCCCAGTTGTTCAATACGCTTATTCAGCTTATTCAATCTCCTCCAAGATGGAGTACTTGGCATATCCTTCGTGAACCAACTGAAGATATTTGCGTACGGATCGAGAGTCTTGAAGAGACAACTTGCGTGGCTTGAAGTTGGACTTCTGAGGTTGGAAGTTGCCCAAGGAGACGGAAAGATCAATGTCAATCCACAATCCGCAGTGATCACAATCAAAGAATTCATCAAAGGCTTAGTACCCACCCGCAAGGATTGGTACACCCGAAGTGGTGCAGATACCATCGATCGGAATGTTCTGTTGGTTGCGCTGGTGGGTCGCTTGCGGTGAGTGGTGTTTTAGAATCGCCTCCTCAAGACCGCAGGCCCGGAAACGGTGGCAGATAGACTGGGGTGCGTTAACAGTGACATCCTCGTTTGCATCTATGCCCAGAACCACCTCACACCCTTCATCACGCCATTTGGTGATCTGTTTGCAAAGATTGTAAACAAAGGCTTTCTGTGGATTGACTTTTCGATTCACTGCATGAAAATGAAGCCTGCGTTGTGCCCATACTGTAGATCCACCGAGGCCTTGCTTGTTGGGTCGGTACGCGGAGACGACCACTAAATCCTTGGAGATCGGACGGCAAACTGCGTCATTTACCTCAGCCAAGAGTCCTGGACATTACCCCCGTGGGCTTTCAACTTCCTTCCCTGGAGACAAACATAGGTCCATCTTCCTAAACCCGTGAGGTCTCTGCCAGCTTCCTTAGCCCTGTGCGCCACTTGATTCAAAACAGTTGCGATGCACCCGCCCCATTGTACCGCTGAGGTGGCAGCAGATCTGTCCTGATGCCGATTGTAAGCTACCGACGAGTAAAACCCTTTCCGCTCGGACTTCATCGTAGCTTGGCGGAGTCTGTCACTCCAACCGCGACCTTCGTTGATAGAAGGCCAGAACGTCTTGGCTTCTGCCAACAACGCAATTCCCACTCGTTCTTCCTTCAGCCAGGAGTTGATCTGTTGCTGCTTGGGGTCGTTGCCGTTTTCTGGTAATCCGTTGACATTCTGGAAACAGATTCAAGTAGCCAGTGGAGAACGACGGCAGTGATCATTGCCAGACCAATCTCCTGCTGGAAGAGAACGTAAATATTCATCAAGTGAAGCATGAGAGACTCCACTTGACGGGCCACTAATACGGGATCTTCTGCCTGCACGCCGTGACCTAGCTGCAGACGATCGTGGGCCTCTCCTGTCCCCTCCGCGGAGCGGGGAGCTCTGCGGGCGGACCGAGAAGATTTACTGGCGCCATCACTCTGGGCCTTCCCAGGAGGAGGAGAGAAGAATGGAGGCCCTCCACCTCGCAGGGTAGACGCAGTAAGAGATGAGGTTTGGCTCTCATCTTGAGACGCAGCAGTGGTGTCGTCCCTTTCCATGTGAGACGTGTCTACTTGAACAGCCGGGGCCGCCAAGGTTTGAGAAGGAGATGGTTCCTGAAATTGAACACCTGCACTTGTACGGGCCTTCTTGGCTGGTTGTTTACTTTTGTCCTGCTTGATGGCCTTCTTTGGTTTTGTCACTGTGTTGGGAACAATAGAGCCCTTCCCAGTGGATGACTTGCCTAAGGTTCTGTTGCTGGGTCTGACCGGTGGAGTCAATGCTTGACGGTCAGGGGACACGCGATTGTTGTGAGGTGGAGTGGGAGGTGGATGAACCATCACGGTAGGTGGATGGCTGACCTGGCTCTGAAGAGCAGCAAGCTGTGCCTGCAGTGCCGCATTGTCCGCACGTTGTTGTGCCAAGACGCGCTCCTGAGCCTCAAGTGCATTGTCCTGAATCTCAATCTCATTGAAGGCATCTTCCAGTTGTTGCTCTCGTTCCTGCATCTCATCCATCATTCCCGTCACTGTCTTCCCATCATCAATGTCTTTGTTGTTAGCCATGTCCAAATCAATCGAGAGTTGGCCGTTGTAGACATCCGTTGCATCTTCCATAACATCATCCAGAAACTCTAGTGCTTCTTCCACCGCGTCTGGCGATGCGGTAGCCTCCACTGCATGAAGGGTTTTTGTGCACCATTTGAGGTTCTTACGCCGAGCCATACTGATCTCTGATTGCGGAACCCATTTACAAAGGGCCAGAGTTGGCTCATACAGGGGATGAGTAAGAAAAGGGACCAAGCCCTTCAAGATGTTACGAGCCAATTGTCCAAACTTCTTGCGACACACCAGGATGTAGGTGCCCTCCATCTCGCCTGGTAGAACCATCAAGAACAACGGACCGGACTTGTGACGCTCCTGATCATTCTTCAGCTTACGGTCAGCAGCCTCAGCCATTTTTTGTCGGGCTGGGGAGAGATCATTAAGGAACGGCTTCTCATTGTCAGCGATCCGCTGCTTCTTCTTCTTCTTCTTCACCTTCTTTTTCACCTTTGTCGCCGCCTTCTTAGACTGAACTTCCGTGAATTGGCCGTCATTAGAGTCAGAGGCTCCATTGGAATCGTCGTCAGAAGAGTCATTGTCCAAGTCAACAGTCTCAGTTGTTGATTGGTGAGCATGCGAAGCTTTGTCAGCTTGAGTTGGGGTTGCCTTGATCGACAAGAGAAGCTTGAACAAGGTGCATGTGCCAAACATAGTGGTAGTAGCGAACTTGAACATCCCAGGAAGGTCCATGACCGAATACAGGACCTCTGTCAGGATGTAGTAGTCACGTAGTTTGCTAATAAGGGTGAGGGTAGCATCCTTGACCGGACCGTAGGCCTTCACACTGATCAAGCCCTGTTGAGCAGACTTCCAATCGCTAATAAATGTAGCCGGAGCCGCAAAGGGGAAGTCTGGCTTTGCTGTGGATGGATGAAGAAGGCTTCTTAATTCTCGATCGACTCTTTTGGCATGAATCTTGCGGGCGTACCCATGGGGACTTGTTACACCGGGGGAACGTTCATTGAATTTAGCACGTCCTGTGTAAGGAGTAGAAACCCAATCCAAGGGATAGCAAAGTCAAAGTGACGCATGATTTCTTTTGCGTAGGCTTCAAAGTTAACCTCCGGCGGAATGAAGGCAAAGCAACCCACTTTAACAATGTCACCATATTGAAGCGGCGAAGGGTAACATCCTGCACCACAACCCTGGGAACGTAGACCAGTGTGAAGATAGTCTTGGACCGCCTCTGCCGACGTGTACCTTGCAAAGCCCACCCGCATTCGGGTCCGTAGTTTCTTCTCGCCAGGCTTGCTGTTGGTTGCCGCATAAGGAGAATTCCCATATTCCATATCGCAGTAGAGACTCAGGGCCCCGTAGGACGAAATTTTGTTGCGTAACTCCACCGAGTTCCGGATCCACCGGTTCTGTTGTTTATAAGTGTCGTCGGAGATAGGAAGGATCTTCAACTCGTGAAAGGAGTTGTTCAAAGCTTCCTCCATTGACGTCAGCACCGCAGATAAAATTGCCTCAGCAACCGTGCCGGAGTCGGATCCCAAGTAATTTGTCGCAAATGTGGTCTCGAAAATATGACATCTGCATGTCATCCCATCCAAGTTAACTTGAATTAATTTGTTAAGTTTCTCAGCAAGAGTGGGCGGTGGAGGTAGGCGACGTGTAGGTGGAGGTGTGTTTAGCAATGAAGAGCTATCCTGAGAGACCTGAGTAGGGCTTGTCAAGCCGTCAACCGCCATGTTGTCATCTTCTGACCTCCCCAGTGCTTCTACATACTCTGACTGAACCTCCCCAGCGTTGCTCGCCACATCATCATCATCCTCATCCTCTTCATCGTCATCATCATCTGAAGAAAGTGGTGGGCGTCTTGGGTTGTTACGGACCGCTGTCACTAGTATTTCATCGTCATCATCGTCCTGATCTGGTTGTTGGTAGGCATCGCCGTCAATGGTAGTGGCGTCGTCGTCCGCAGCCTCAGCATCGTCAGCATTTGTCCCAATCGATTCATCATCATCCACCAGTGCATCATATCTATTGTCGGTCAGATTACGATGGCGCTTCCGTTGATCTGCTAAAGTCGCTTTGTTCGGATGGGATTGGCCTACCACATTGTCCAAATTGTCATTCATTGGATCACTGATCTTCTGAATTGCTTGTTGAGTGTGATGGGTTGAATTTTCTGGTCGGAAAAAGGACTGAGAAGGTGCCGAACGTTTTTGTTTGATGCCACAGATGATTATCGACCACGGCTTGTTATAATAGTTGTTGTCAAAGGTTGTCGCCCATGGATAATCAAAAAATTCAGAACAAATCAACCAAAAGCCAACCAAAGGATTTTCCAGATGAAGTCGAGGGTCCGACTTGTCCCCATCAAAGAATTGATTGTTGTTCTGATTTTTTTCAAATTCGTCAATGCCAAAAAACGAGAAAGGGTTCTGCAATGAAATTCGCATTGCAAGAACTCGCATTGACCAGACGTCTTTGGCTGCTTTATCCTCAATCGTGAAGAGGTCGAAGGAGGATATGAGATATTGGGCCAGCTGGGTATTATCAGAGTTGAGATAAGTAAAAATCTGAATGAATCGATCGTTGCATGTTGATGTGCCTGCATAGTCGTTGAACAGGGCATCAAATTGCAAACAAGGTTGATTCCAAGCGCCTGGATATCAATCATCCCAAGCTGCAAATAAGGTGTTGCCTGTTTGAATGCGATCCATTCTTTGCAGTGCTTGATTGACAACTTCACCAGAGTATAATTTCTTCGACCACCGCTCAGATAATTTAGGAACCAGTTTATTGTATTCCTCTCTACGCCGCGCATCTCGTTCAGCAATTTGTTGTGCCTCGAATTCGTCGGCCATTCGTAGAGTGTCTTGGGCATCGGCGATTTGCTTGATGACAACATCATTGGAATTGACAGGATCTCTGTCTTTGGGCTGTTCCAAATCAATTTCCAGTTGTTTTTTCATCGCTTTTTTTCCTACAGAGGAAGCCTTGGACTTTGCCACGCCCAGCTTTTTTGTATTAGCCGAGGCAGCCTTCGGAGCTGGAGATTTGCCCATGTTTAAACCAGTGTTTTGCCGTTTGTTGATGATAATTTCAATTTTTGCTACGTAAAATCAGTACTAGCGCTACGCTGAGCAGATTGGCTGGTTCTGCATGTTTGCGTGTTGTTTCGTTTCTGATATTATTTTTTCTATGACAATAATCTGAGAACTACTGAAATCCCAGATGAAGAGCTACAAGATCTACAAGAAGATTTTGATGAGCACTTTGGATCAAGTGATAACGGCAGTGATGAAGAATCACTACCCGAACTGATCAATCGCAAGAAGAAACAAAGACACAAAAGCGATGATGACAGTGCCAATGAAAGCGACTATGAAAGCAAAGACAACGACTCTGATATAGAGATGTCCGAGCAAAATCACGATCCAAGTCGTGACAATGATGAAATTGACGACAAACTTACCAAACTCATTGATAAACTCCAACATATGGAGAATCCCGAAGATGAGATTTGAAGAGTTCTCAAGTCAGACGATGAAGACGAGAACAAGAGTGAAGGGGAAGGACAAGACTCCAGCAAAGAGTCAATACCATCAAATCACGGCCATGATTCGGATGATGAAGACGATGACGAGGTGGAGACGATACACCGGCATCGCAAGCTACGCAGATGAGATCACCTTATAATCTCAGGAAGAGAAATCCTGACAAGACAGTTACTGGTAAGACCAGATCTGGAAGAAAGACGGTGTCAAAATGAGACCTGCTCTAAGACACAACTATGACAAGACCCAGTACCGACCTTATCTCAAGCGCACAAAGTCCCAGCCCAACTCGACTAAGAACCAAAAGATGAAGAGACGCAAGAAGCGCATTGAAAAGGCAAGAATGAATCTACATCAAATCTTGCGCTGGTGGAAGGTACGACGCCAGAAAGCAAACCTTTGAGGTGGTAGCAACGGCAATAAGACTATCAGGGAACGCGACTACAATCTGGCACTACAACAGATTGGAACAGATCAGAAGACAGAATATTCTGTCGACAAGGCGCAACTCATTGTTTGATTCATGCAAGGGTTACGTAGCAAGGTCAAGACTCAAGGAGTGTCGTTTATTCAACAATACTACCTTAACAAAGGACTAAAGCTATTCAAAGATCGTGGCGAGAAAGGATCCAGTCCATGTTGAAGAGTTGACCGAGAAGGAAAAGGAAAAGGCTGTCGGAGCGATGATGCTCCTAGCTGAGAAACACACTGGTGAAGTTAAGGGACGTTGTGTCTACAAAGGCAATGAAGCCCGAGACTGGTTGACTTGAGAACAGACAACGAGCCCAACTGCTTCCTTGGAAGCTATTATCACCATGTGTGTGATTGATGCCTATGAAAAACGAGATGTCATGTCGGTTGACATCCCGAATGCCTTCATTCAGACTGAGATGCCTGAAGTGAAGGATGGAGAAGAAAGAGTGGTCATGATGATCACCGGTATCATGGTGGATTATCTCAACGAGATACACACAGAATACCGCGACTATGTTGTGTACAAGAAAGGCACGAGGGTACTCTACGTTATAATCCTCAGGGCTATCTATGGTATGCTGGTCGCACCTCTACTCTTCTACAAGAAAATCCGTTCAGATTGTTAGAAGTAAGCGATCCACTGCCGCCTGCAATCTACCTGTTCAATTGACTGCAATTTAGCTGTCCAGGTATTGTTGCCTTCTAAGTATATGAACTTACAGTATATAGAAGTATATAGATCAATCAAAGATCCTACTTTATCAACCAATTCACTCGTTGCTTGCATTATATTATAAAAAGTGAGAATAGTCTGTCAACTTTTGACTTTGACTCTTTCCTCTCCAGCTCAGTGGAAATTCTCAGAATTCTCTCTACGTCAGCCTGATATGCTGCAAGTTCAATCTGATTATCCGTTCACCTTCCACTGTAGTCGGTACTTTGATTAGTATCCAACTTTGGCTCTTGCTTGAATCTTGCTTTCTTACATCATCAACAGGATGATTTCCATAGAAATATAATCCGTTTTCTGACTCGCCATGCTCGATGTCTTTAGTCGCATCAGTCTTCATTTTTAGTCCTATCAGTCGAAATCATTTCTCTATCGTTCACATGCATTCTCTTTTTCTCGTTTCTCCAAATATGTACTTTGAAAATCCTAATATATCCAACAGCCGGTACAAAACCCACGCACTGAACTCCCGCAGGATTCAGTCTGGGACTTTCGTGGCGCTCAGACGTTTGTTAGTCCAAGCCCACAAGTCCAGGTATTGTTGCCTTCTAAGTATATGAACTTACAGTATATAGAAGTATATAGATCAATCAAAGATCCTACTTTATCAACCAATTCACTCGTTGCTTGCAATATATTATAAAAAGTGAGAATAGTCTGTCAACTTTTGACTTTGACTCTTTCTTCTCCAGCTCAGTGGAAATTCTCAGAATTCTCTCTACGTCTGCCTGATATGCTGCAAGTTCAATCTGTTTATCCGTTCACCTTCCACTGTAGTCGGTACTTTGATTAGTATCCAACTTTGGCTCTTGCTTGAATCTTGCTTTCTTACATCATCAACAGGATGATTTCCATAGAAATATAATCCGTTTTCTGACTCGCCATGCTCGATGTCTTTAGTCGCATCAGTCTTCATTTTTAGTCCTATCAGTCGAAATCATTTCTCTATCGTTCACATGCATTCTCTTTTTCTCGTTTCTCCAAATATGTACTTTGAAAATCCTAATATATCCAACAGCCGGTACAAAACCCACGCACTGAACTCCCGCAGGATTCAGTCTGGGACTTTCGTGGCGCTCAGACGTTTGTTAGTCCAAGCCCACAAGTCCAGGTATTGTTGCCTTCTAAGTATATGAACTTACAGTATATAGAAGTATATAGATCAATCAAAGATCCTACTTTATCAACCAATTCACTCGTTGCTTGCAATATATTATAAAAAGTGAGAATAGTCTGTCAACTTTTGACTTTGACTCTTTCTTCTCCAGCTCAGTGGAAATTCTCAGAATTCTCTCTACGTC